ATTATTATTATTTTCTTTTAAAGGCAGTGTGTTATTTTTGTAATAGGAGCAATGTGGAAGATATAATATGATTGTCAGACACTGTGGTTGACCTTGCCTTGCTGGAAACACTCCTGGGTCTGTACACACACTCAGTACCGTGAGCACAATGAAATGATGATACTGCTCTTGTTTGGTGCATTGTGAACTGCTGAGAAAGGCAGTATAGAACGCCAAGATAAAAGAGCCTGCATGAAAACAATTTTTCTTTTGTTTTGTTTTTTCATTTTCAAAGGTGTAAATAAAAGATTACTGGAGTATGTTTTAGAAAATACTATTTCAGTCTATTAACTTCAAAATTTCACATTTCATTGAATGTGTTACTTGTAATTTGTGAAATTTAAAATTAAATCCTACGCCAAATTTCTTTCAGAGTAGGTCTTACTGTAAGGAACAAACATTTCAGCACTGATTAGTCTTTAAATTTAAAAGACTTAATGTAGTTCATTCAAACATCACACACAGAGGTGAATAATATTAAATAAATATGTGGGAGGAGCTTCGGACAAAAATAGTGCTGTTGTAATGGATAGTATAACAGCAGATAATAATCAAATCTTACATTGGATTTACAATCACATATTTGCAAGATCTCTTAAATATCTTTATTGAAATCTACTAATCAGCTTTGGTCAAATCCAAAGCATTTAATATTAAAATGGGATATTTTTATGGAATCATAATATATTGAGAGTAAGGCTGCAGGCTTTCTGAGACATTGAAATAACCTTCCTTTACTCCTGATACCTCATTTGACCCCATTTATTAAAATGGAGCACTACTTTGACCCCATTATTCACTCTGTGAGGTTTCATTTTCTGTGATGGTCCCATGGTGCTACAGTCAATGGAGAAAAAGAGTTTAATGATCCTTAAAATGGACATAAAAGAAAAAAGCGACTGGCCTTGCTATGTATGGGTAGTTGAAATGACACCTTTTTATGTCCGGGATATCATTTCAAAAAAGCTTTTCTTTTTCTCTCTCTCTCTCTCGCTCTCTTTTTTAAGAAAATAATGTCAGAATAGTGCTCTTGCAGAATAGCAAGTCTCTACAGGAATATATTCTGATAATTTTAAAACATTGTGTGATCCAAAACCATTTGCTGCAACATTCAAAAATGATAGTTTAAATATACTTGTGATCACATTTGAGGAACAGGAATATTTGATAGGATAAGCTGACATGTATTCCATTTTTTGTTGTTAAAAGTAACTGAAGCATTATAAGAATTGAAATGAGATGTGCTCTGCAAAGTTCCTACACCTTTTGACCAATTAATTGAATGACTTTTCCAGTCTTTCGTGATTACTGGATAAGTCTTTTATTTTAAAAATACAGCCTTTTCCAGTTAAAGACAAAACTGCAGCTATCATATACTATAAATCCTCAAAGGCCATAATGTGTCCAAAACAAATCTTCTTTATGTTGTTTTTCTACACATTTTCATGTTCAAATGTCATCCACCCACATGTGTAGCTGTGTAGAATCATCTCCTCAGAGATCGTAGAGGGATGGAGGTGCCAGTGCTTCCATTACTCTTAACATCCAGACAAACATCTGCTTGAGGTACGCTTCACTCTCTCTAAAGATCAATCTCTGTCATGAGCTCATCCTCAAGCTGTCTCCCTCTTACTCGCACTTTCTATCCTGTGTGTGTGGGAAGGACACTGCAGTAGCAGCTGGCTCCATGTCTGCCTCCGTACACGCATCAGCTCAAGGGACGGCAGCCCATCCCCGCGCTTGTGAAACGCGTGGGGAGAAGGGGGGGGGTCGCTACTGAACCACTTTTGCATCTGATGATTTAGAGATGATAATTATATTCATTCAGTCATTCTAAAGAATGCAATTATTCTGTCTAACAGCAGCATTTTACAGGAGACACAATGTGGGCGATGACACAAGTTCATTTGATTGTATTGCAGCTGAATAAGACAAACATGCTAGAAATGAGAACTTTTGTTTAAATATGTCACAATTTAACATTTCCTATAGCAGTCACCGCGTGGGCAAGTGCTGGGGTTAAAGCCTTGCAATGCACCTGGTGGGGGTGTCAAGTGCGATCCGTGACAGAGGAGACCAGCGAGTGCAGCGTGGGCCTGAGGACATACAATGCACAACCAATCACCGTGGACACAAGCCTTCAAGGACAACCATAGTCACTCAATGTGACAGAACAAGGTGCCTTGCAGCGTCCACACAAGACTGCCAGACATAAAAAAAAAGCCACATATAAAAAAAACACCCCTAGTGGCATGCCAATATCAGCTAATGCTCGTGATTATAAATAGAACAACTCAGTCCTGTTCTGAAATGCTGCAGCTAATTCTCTCTGACCTTACAGAGGGGTTCTGCAGGGAAATGAAATGTGGCAAATCTAATAATTCAACCCATAGTGTGAATGTAGTGCTCTAAATACAGTGAATGAGCTACTGCTAATTACCAGCTGCACAATATTCAGTTCTCTAATCCAGTTACTTTGACAAGAGCATAACAGGAGGCTGCGTATTATACACCATGTGTGGCAACTTACTCCCAGACGCATCTTCTCTCTAAACCTTCAATAAATCCTTTTAACTTTTCACAGTGTTCATGTACTGTGATCTCTGGACCAATTCACACATACTGATTTCCAACTGGGACTGTGCATTGGATGACGAAGATACAGGTAAAACTATATTCTGCCAAAAAAAATACATAATAGTGTTTTATTTTAAAACATTAACAATGACTACAGGGGCCTGCACCATGAAGCTAGATGAAACCGACTTTGGGTTAAACAGGATTGGTTTCAAGTTGACAAAACCAAACCAATCCAATTAGGCTCATACAGTTACAAATTAACTTTAAACCTTATATATTGAGTCTTATTTATATTACATATTTCATCATATTACATATTATCCATATATTTATAATTAAACTAAGCTTAATATTAATTGTTAAACTGTAATTGCTAATGTGTAATGAACCAAAGGCATAATTAAACATGAATTATATAAAATAACTATAATAAAAATGCTTTTAGTGTTGATTCTTTTTCAAATTCAAATTATTTTACTGGTAAGTGACCTTTAATTTGGATCAAGAGAACCTGGGGAGTGGCTTAATTAATTAGTTCAGAGATGTGTCTCTTTGCTCACTGCTGTTTAGTCTAACTTGCCGATTGGTTGGCGCAAAGTAATCTAAAACTCACCTGACTAGCCAGCTTAACTGGCTTTATGCTACAGGCCCCTCTAACTTGAATTACAAACAGAGTAAAAAAAAATTATATATAAAATGTTACGATTAAATAGCTATACACAAAGTATAATGCTTCCAAGACCATAACCAGCCATATTTACAATTTCTGGAAAACCTCATCTAAATTGAGGCCAGTAATAGCCACTTACCGAACATTATCAATCTGACAAATCAGAAGAATTTGCAAGGTATAAAAATAGATGTACAAGATCAACAAATATAAGATTTGCTGTGGCAATGCAGTGTTGGTGCAAAAGGGCAAGTTGCTTATCCATCAACTTGCCTAAAACCTAGACCATGTTTATTGTTAATCCCAGAGAAACTACATCATTTTAATACCAGGTTGACTTTAAAAGCAGTATGCAGACTCCACAGCCAACTCAAAGATGACACACACACAACTAATGCTGATTTCAAAAGATGCGAGCAGTCCTCTAGGGTAAGCCTCTTCAACACAGATGGCATTCATACCACCACATCTCTGTACAGCAAATAAACTGGCAAAGGCAAATTTGCAGTAATAAAATCTTGAACTAATATCAAAGAGAATACATTGCTTTTAATGTAAGCATAAAAAGAACACATACATATCACACACCCTATGGACAAAAAACTGTGTAAACTAGATTTTTTTAAAAATGTTCTGAAGAAAATGTGATTGGTGCTTGGCAGCATAAAACTGTCTTCTGGGTGGTTATAAGGGCATTACTAGATAGTCCTGCTGCATCCACAGCACAAACTGTGTGAGAAGAGCAACACGCTGAAGCTGTGAGCAACAGTAATGGCGAATCTTAATTAGTCACTAGAACATTAACTGCATGTTAAGTCATACTCAAAATGCGAACAAGATAAGCAGTTATTTCTCATTTAACACCGATTATTATTCTGCCTTTCCACAAGATTAACGTCTTCCTGACATCAGACACGTGAAGACAAACACCAGTGATGATTAAATGTCATAAAGATAAAGGTCTAAAGGTGAATTCCCCTCATTAAATTTCAGTCAACAAAGAAATTAGATTTTCTCTAAAAATTTGTCTTCCAACAGCACACAGTTTGAAGTTTTTGTTTTTTTTGTCCTGTCAGTACTTATCCCTCAGATATCTTACAAGTGTTAGCCTATGTTTTTCAAAGAGTGCAATTAAGCTTTTTCTCATGGGTATGTCTACAGTGCATCATCACTCTTGTACAATTTTTATCTTGAGATGTTTCAGTAACTTCTTGTGAGAAACCTCATGAAGCAGCATACTTCTTTCATCAGTTGTGTAAAAGCCTTGGTGTGCAATGAAATAATCATCCGTGCCATTTAATCCAAGAAAATGCGCAATTCGTCCCACTTTCCTTTCTTCTCTTTTTCATTACAAAGCACTCTGGCTGGATAAAATATTTACAGACAAGGGAACTTTGTGCGTAAGGTAATTTCTTTTATAGGACCCTCTTATCCACAAACCCCTGGCATTCCCCAAAACTCAAAAATCCAGTGGAGTAAAGAAGCAAGGCTAAAATTTTCAAACGGGCTCTTTTTTCCTTACTGTGCAAAAGAACAGCATACCAAATGCCCTGTGGGCATCATTACACACTAAGCGTTGCCATCTCTGATTCCATATCGAAGACAACATTGACTCTGAGCTCTTCTAATGAGCTAACACCCACATCCTTCCACATGAGCAGTCAAACACAGAGAGATACAGAAACATAAATGGCAGAAGAAAGGGACTTACGTTAGGTTTTGGAACAAAGGCACATCCTGGGATGGTGAAACAGTTTTTGACAGTGCAGAGATACTGAGCCATGACAGACAGACGGCTGCGTTGACGGCTTCCTGTGCTGGCTGTTAACCTCTAGAAATTAAAGAGAGGACAAAGACTGTTATTCTTCCCAACCATTTCATCCCCCAAAAAAAACAACAAACAAAAAAACAACACTCAAATACTTAAGATTAATGTAGTTCTAGATGTACTTTCTGTACTTTTTTTAAAGAATCTAGCAAAGTTCTAACTCGTTACCTAATATTACCCTTTGCATGGTACCCAGCCACCTAGAATTCTTACAAACCAATAAAAAAAACACAATATTTCAAATATTTTGTATTTGCTACAGTGTGCCAAACCTGCTAAAAATGCTATAAAATAAACTGAATTTAGCTTGTTTGTCCACAGCTGTAAAGCTGCAAGACACTAATAACAACTGAAAAAAGCACAGTGAAATCCGAGTGTTAACAGATCAGAGGTAGAATGTTCAGAGGGAACACTTATATTCACTCATTTAATCTAATAACATTTGTTTTCCTGTCAATTTAAGAACTCTTTTTTTAAGATCTTATTACAGTTACTGTTCATATAAAATATAATTTATTGCATAGTGTGCAACATAAAATATTTGATGAAAATGCATATTTGAGATTTAGAGGCTGTAAATTCTGGTTTGCGGGCCTTGTCACATTATGAAGGACTGAAAACAATTTGATTGGTGCTGAATCTTACTGCTTTAGAGTGTTCCAATTTTAGAGAATCAAGATCCATGCAGTTGAAAAACTTCTATGAGTAGATTTGAGTTCAGTCTTATTTGGCGTGGGATTTAATATGGTGGCTTGAGAGAGAGCCTGAAAGTGTGCATGTTTCATGCCAATTTCAAGCTGCGTGACAACAACATAAATATAAAATGACTATTTTTATTCTGCTGTGCCTTTAGGAGTTCTGTGTAAATGTCCTCTTTGCACGTGAAATGAACAACACTGCTTTGTTGCAAACTTGAAAAGCCTAAATTTCATTGTGACATTGGTCGTTAAGAAAGCTACCGTGTGTTTTCATAGTACTATGCACTTTTATTTCAAAAGATAAAGGAAAAATTTTTTCCTCACAATATGAGGAACATAAACTAAAACTGAAAAGAGAAATTAAGGCGGTACTAGTTAGTCTACGATTGATTTCATGCAACAAAAACTCCTGTCGGACAGCAACTACATTTTTAGACCATACTTCTTTAAAACAATGCCTCCAAATGAATAATACCAGGAATAACGGATACTGTTCGACTTACTTCAGCCACCTCTTTCTGGAAGGTCAGTGTAAGCCTTGTACGTCCAAACATAAAGCACCCAGTTCTGTTCGACATCTGCTCCAGCCACTTTATAATGAGAGGAGTCGACACACTAAAGGGCAGATTCCCCATGATGTGCAGGTTGGGGGGTACTGAAATACAAACACACACATTCATAAAGAACCTTTCATGTTCTTTACGGCCGTTCATATAACAACAGAGTACACAAATGATGTTGCTGCCAAACAGCAGCAGGCAGCTGACCTTTGCTAAGCTGGCCCTTGATCCCCCAGAAAAGGCTGAATACTGGATGGCAGACATTCAGGTAAGTTGTCTTAAGCTTGTTTGTTTGTGAATAAGACAGTGGCTGCAATAGGTGCTAAAAAGAGGGGCAATCTAAAAGGTCTGGGGTGTTCTGGGTGTAATGCTTTGCCAGGCCATTTGCAGCGGTGTCGGATAAGAACATTTTGTTCAAGCGAATTCTAGGAAGAACTGGCAACCAATGCAAAGACATGAACAAAGGTGTGAAACGAGAGCTTGGAGATTAACAAGTTAAGCTGCAGCATTTGGGGGGGGGCTTATTTTCTCTGATGATTGATTATTTCAAATAAGAACATATTTAATTAGACTTGTCCAACAAATTATTTTAATGTGTTTATTAATATATACACATAGCATCCTCCAGAAAAATGGCACCCCTGTCAAATATAACCAATAAAATAAATAAATGTGAAATAAATAAATATTCGTTGTCTTTAAAAATGTGTCTCGAAATTATTGGCAACCCTAGAAACTCTCAGGAGTAAATCTCTAAGAAAAAAGTATGTTTCTAAGTTCCACTGAGTGATTGGGAAAACTTACAGGAAGTGGTAAGACATGACTTTCAGTGCGGTATAAATATGAGGTCACTATATAGGCTCAAGTGCCTACATTCAAAGTTATCTAGACAAAGGTAAGTTGCACAATGTATTGAATGAAGAGGTGCCAATAATTGTGTCACAAATTTCTTTTCAGAAAAATAAGTCTCTACTTTACTCAAAATGTCCACTAGTATCCAAAGTACTAGTGACAAAGAGGATAAACAGCAAAGACATTTTTCCAGTGTGTTTTGCTCGTATTTGTCGAGGGTGAAATAAAATAACTCATTCCATAGCGAAGTACTAATTTATTGAACTGTGTTTGAGATCACTTATAATGTTTACCATCTTCCCATGTCTTAGCTATGTGGGCTGGGAACCCTCTCTCCAGTCTGTATGTGAGAATATCTCCATGTGCTATCCTCATTCTTCCAGGAGCAGTCTCAGACAAGAGCTGAACAAACAAAAGAAGACCCAAATACTTCAATATACATGCTTACTCAGCCTAATTATATGATATAAAATTAGAAACAGACACGCACACACATATACATACATAATTCTTCTGTTTCAGATTCATACCACATTATTATAATTTATTTTTTTCTTTAGTCTTAGTTAAATGTTCTTTCTGTTCTCATGTCATATGTGTATGTATGCACCAAGAGCTCCTTAAAAACCAAAACAAATTCCTTGTGTGCAAATAAAGCTAAAGCTAATTCTGACTAAAAATATAGCATACGAGAACTTACAAGTGCCTTGGTGGAAGAGTGAAGTAACATCTCACAGCAAGAACTGGCTAATCTTTCTCAGTCCATTACTGTAGTACTAAACTGTAGTACTAAAAGCAGCTGGTGGTCACACCACACACTGACTGCTACTTTTGATATTGAGCCCTGCTCTCATCATTCCATTTGTCAAATGTCTGTGAAATTTGTTCACTTTATTTATCAATTGTTAAATCTTTTTATGCTCATACAAATAATTTCACATAGTAGATTAGAATTTAAGTTATTTTACGTTTTTGAAGGACGTCTCTTGGTAAATGCTCACCAAGGCTCACAATATTTTGAAATATTATTACGAATTAGAAATGAAAATAGCTAATTTTCAGCTAATCTAGTTTTTAAAATTACATTTGAAAATATATTTAAATAAAAATAAAAACAATTCTTTTTAAATTGTAATATTTCGCAATATTACAGTTTTTAACTGCATCTTTAATTTAAAAGAATGCAGCCTTGGTGAGCATAAGAGACTTCTTTCAAAAACATAAAATTCAAAATCTTTTGACCTATAGTGTTTGTTGGATATCAGGCACTAGCAACTAAAAACATTTGCTTTTGTGTAAAGCAGCTGTATCCACACAACCAGGTGTCATTATAAAGTACCTGGGAGTCTAATATAGGTGAAATTGTATTCATTCTTTTGAATTTATTCGAAAGCATTTATTCTTTTTTTGTTTAAAAACCACTGCCGATACCAATATTTAACAAGCAGGGTGGCCAGTGGATAGAGTGATACCACTATATGTAATGAAAGTTAATGTTAGCACAAATTTAATGTTACCACTTATTTTACACTACATTCCTTTAAAATTCACTAAAAATAATTTGAAAACAGAAAAAGTGCAGTATTCATTGATTGGCCGGTTTATAGATTTTGAAAATGACAGTAAGTGGAATAAACGCCTTTGCTTGCCAGTCTAGCAGCTATCGGTCAATAATCTCAAAATAGTCAAATATTTGAAATGGCCAATTCATCGCTCTATAGAATACATGGATTTATTTGTAAACCTGTAATCCTGGAATAAAGCGTGTGTCCTTCTCCACCACTAATAAGTCTGCTGCTCCAGCTTTCAGAATAGACCTGGTGAGGCCCCCGGGTCCAGGCCCCACCTCACACACACGCGCATCCTTCAGGCAGGCCGCCTGCCGGACAATCTTATCTGAAATCCATAAGCATTTTGTTTAAAGTTGCTGTTTACATTTCACACCCACATTACACAAACACACACATAAACAGTGTGCTACTTTATTGAAATCTATGAAGTCTTGTGAACGCATTTCGAAAGGGAGTGAACAACAGTTGGACTGACCTGTGAGTCTCATGTCTAGGAGGAAGTTCTGAGAAAGCTGTTTCTCTGCTCTCAGATTATACAGCTTGATAATCTCCTTTATGGTAGGCAGAGGAGGTAACCGAAAACAGGCCAGTTTCTGTGTAGCTGCCATCTCCCTTCAGTTAAAATTACAACTGAAAAACATAAGTGTCTTTCAATTACTTGCCTGTTTAAAATAAATATTTTAAAATATTCCTGTTTACTTTAAATAAATAAAAATATCCCAGATTTTCAGTGTAATCACACTTCTGAATGCCTCAGTACAAAGATACATTTTCAACACATAAGGAAGAAAAACAATATCCTCAGTTATAGAACATTTGAGCAGAGAGAGTGTAGTCCTGCATTCACATGTCTATGTTATTTGTCAACTACCACCCAAAATCTCTGGATTTAGAGACTCAACAGGAGATTCGTGATGTTCGGGCAACACCTTGTGGTTAACCGTCTGAACTGCAGTTACTTTGAAACAAACTGTCGGTTTCATACCATAACTGACATTTAAAGCGTTAAAGGTAAAACGTATAGCGTGTGCAGGACTTTTCCAATTTAGGAAAATATTTGTGATTTAATTGTAAAATATAGAATATAATTCAGCAACGTAATTTTCTATATAACAACAGCGCCTATCTGCCCTGGCTCTGAGCACTTAGATAAAACAGAGAATAACAATTTAATTGTATTTAAGTTAAGACACACATCCCTTAGTGGAGAGATTTATAATAAAGACTATATGTTAGCATAATTCTATAAGAAGTGAAGACTGCGACATGCTAATAAACAACACAACATTATTACTCTGTCTGTTTAACACATTTAATGCGCTTAGAAAAGAGTTTTTATTATTTTACTTCTTACTCAGCCACATATTTAAACAACGGCTATCTTCAATAAGAACAAAACTGTTTTAGGCTAAAACACGACACAAACAGGAAACACGTTTTCCTCACCGGTGCAGATGTCTTCCTACAGCGGAGGCGGTTACCCTGACGCTATGATTATTTCCTCCAATGCAGTGCCGACAATGAACAAACTAACCAATCATGTTCATAAGGGGCGGGGATGTTTCGGTGCCCTTGAAAATGTGTAGTTCGACGCCGTTTGACCCACAAACATCATAATAATTAATAATTATAATAGTATAGAAACACAAAACACTTTTAAAAAAAAAAACTTTTTTTTTATTCACAGATCAGGTGAGGTTTAAATGATATTTTGACTAAACTAAATGTTCCTGGTGTACATTTCCAATATCTGGTCACCTTAGTGTACAGTCCGGCACGTCCTGATTTTGCTACATATTTTGTTGACCCTGGAACAACATTTTAATTCAAAAATGTAGTCTTGACCATATCCCTACACCTAAACCTAACCTTAACGATGAGTAATCCCTAAAATCCGAGGAAATTATAGATGAATGACACTGATGTACAAGCACCAAACACTGACTGTAAGCCTAAACTTCACAAAAAACTATAAACTGATTCTTTAAACCCGATTGGTTAATCACAATGTTGTTCCAGGGTCAACAAAGATGTTGATCCAGGAACATGTGGCACTTGGTAAAATCAGGTTCTGCGTATACAGTCCGTCCTCTTCAAATCATCCCATCATCAGTCAGAGATCATATTAAATCATGGAGATTTGGAACCAGACTTTCTAATAATCTGGGCTCTGACTGAGCAATTTCTTCTACCTTGACTTTTTTTAAATTTATTTTTAGGTCATGCACATCCATTAAAACCCCCTTAAGATTTTTTGTACTGTTGATTTCAATTTTACATTACACGTGGGAAAAGACCTGACATAATTTTACTTACTTTTTTAAATCTAAAAAAGCTGCCATTTTAACAGGGGAGTACAGATATTTTTAGCCACCATAGCCAAGTGTATTCGTAAAAAAAATGGCTTTCTGGGGTTATATGGTTTAATTGCATCTTTTAAGTGCTTGAGCATGTGAATTTTCACTTTACATGAAAATATCATTTCTGAGCATGTAATAATCAAATTGCTCACTTTTCTATCCTAATGCAAAATGTATTTAGGAATAACATTTTCTTAATTCAAATCAGCACTCATTTATAGTCCGTCTGGGAGCATATCAATATTCCTAGTCTCCCTCCATTTCCAAATTTCTGTGGTGTTTGACAAAACTTAAGGTGTCATTGCTACTACTAACTGGTAACAGTGTGGATCATTATGCCTTTATTTCATTATGCATTAATTTCTTTGAATTGTGAATTAAAATATATTATCTTATCTGTCGCTTTCAAATATTGTAAAAATAAAAAAAATAAAAAAAAATCTTTTTACATGTTTAACTCGTATAGCTAAGGTTTGATCAAATAAAAACTTACCAGATCTAGTGAATTAAAATATTTGACAGAGACATTAAATGTAACGGTACATTATTTTTATTCCAAATAACCGAAACGGTAACAAATGTACAAAAAAAAAAAAAAAAAAAAGTTTAATAAAGGCAAAAGCTGCTCACCTAATCGCTTACTTTCTTCAAATTCTTATGTCCAAGTACACGTAATTGTAGTAGTGATACTGAGCAAAACACCACTAATTATGCAACTGAAAAATGCCTTGAAAAAAGAACATACAAATCAAGATTACAGCATAGATCAGCCTATATAAGACCCCAACAAAACAAGTTAAGACTTGAAGTCAAGAGGCACATGGGTACAGATAAAGCATTTTTGGCTCCTCAAGGCAACGATGTCAGTAAGAGAAGACAAAATAGTGAGTTGAGATAAGAGATTGAAAGGACAAGTAATAATAGTAACATGTATAATACAGCTGACAGTACAAAATACAGTTGTGGTGCAAAATACATAATTATTTCATGCATGTCAGACCAGTCTCTTGTGCTCAGGAAACAGTGCTTTGCATTTCTTTAACAACCTCCCCAAGTCAGTCTTGCCACATGGTCAGTCTTCTGTTTTGTTGATTTAACAAAACCAAGAAATTCCATCTCTGAAACAGCCTGAATGAAACGAGCACTGTCAATGTTAAGAATACATATTAGAAAAATTGTTTTAAGTAACTGTGTACAATTAACAATTTGTACACTTATGAGTCACAAGCTTTTATCTTTAACATTACCTCTAAAAAAATGCAGTAACAGTACTTTTAATTAAGTCGACAATTAAATAAAAAACACTTTCATTACTAAAACAGAATGAGCAAAAAGTCAAAAAGGATACTGCTTAAGGCTGTCAAATTTGCCACACTCCTCAGAATCAGTATCTTGGTCCTCAGCAGCTGACATCACAGTTACATACGCCTGAAAATGTCAAACACAATGACAGGTTCAATCCACGCTGTTAGAAAAACATAACCCACCTCTACATGTGATTTTGATTTAGCATGTTTATACCTCAAGCCAGTCATATAGATTTATGAGTCTTCCACACTCAAGATGAAGCTTGAATACAATGCAGAGGTCTGGTGCAGCACTGGAGATTGTGCCAGTATCTGTTTTCAGGCTTTCATTCTGCAGTAAAAACAGAACGGTAACAAAACGAATAGACCACTATAGAGTATTTGAGGAATGCTGGACACTAAACAATACTTTCATTGCATGGAGGAGGAAAAACACTGAGAATTTTTCTCAAAAGATCTTTCATGTTCCACAGTAGAAAGTCAGTCATGCAGGTTTGAAAATAAACAAGGGTGAGTAAATGATAACAATTATTATTTTTGGGTAAACTTTCCCTTTAATACATTGATTTGGGCAGACTTCCAAAGGCATCACTCAATCTGTGTTTTCAAGTCCTCACAAAATCTAAATTGAAGGTTGAAAGCTGTATGTATGTTGGCCTTAAGGTTATCTATAAGCTAATGTGCCCCTAAACAATGACACAATTCACATTTAGAAGGTATGCGTGTTCAAAATTTAGTCTCTCTCAACCTTCAGTACCGATCAGAAACTTTGATGACAGCATTCTGCACTTCAGTTTCTCATCAGATATTCTGCCCAGTGAAATGCTCTCCAGTATCTGAAGCGTCACGACCCTTACATTACAAAAAGATGCTAAAGTTTCATCTGAAAACGATCACTTGTTCACGCATTTACTATTTTCCATATGGTGAATGACACAATGTGCATTATATAGGTAACAGGGAGCAATTCAGACAGTGTAAATATGCTTTCCATTGGGGCAACTGAGGCTGGCAAACTGTCACAGAGACCACAAACATATCTGACCCAACTGATTTCTACAAAGACTTTTATATTTTAAGGCGCTATAGAAGAGAACAAACATCACAAATGGTTTAACAGCCTTTGCATGATACATAGCAGCACTGACCAAAAAAAAAAAAAAAAAAAAAAAAAAAAAAAAAAAAAAAAAAAAACAGGCGCACCGCACCAAAAAAAAAAAAAAAAAAAAAAAAAAAAAAAAAAAAAAAAAAAAAAAAAAAAAAAAAAAAAAAAAAAAAAGAGATGACACAGGTGCCATGCACCAAGATTACAAGCTAAAATTATCACTGTTAACGCTACATTCACAATAATATTTTGAAGAAATGTCAGTGAGCTCAAATATTATTTGGTTTTAAACATTCATCAAAATATCTTCTGTTGTCTAACACAAAAAAGAAAACGTTTTGAAACCATGTAAGGGTTAGGGCTGTCAAAATGGCTGAAAAACTAAATTCGAATTTTGTACTTAAATATTCGAATTTAAATGGCTTTTTTTTTTAGATTTCAAAAATTTCAGTTTTGGGGGGGGGGAGCTTTTGGCTTCTCTCCTGAGGCCAGAAGAGGGCGCATCAGCAAAATATTACTAATGCACGTTTCTTCAAAGCAATAAAATAACACGACTACCTTTGAAAAAAAGTGCATAATGTTTAAAATAATGTTTATAAACCATATATATAATTAATAAAGTTGCTTAAACAATTAGAAAAAAAAACAGCACCATGCATG